TTCGCTACGTTTCGAATGCTTTTCCCTACCGGACTCTGACACATTTGTCCATTGAGACCTTTTAACCGGAGAGCCGGGGGTCTTCGTCCCGAAGGCGCATTGCGGGAAGATTTTCAACCATTTCCACAGATTGTCACATCTGAGCATTCGTTCCACAACGAAGTTGATCATTGAACGTACAGTTGTGTAGAATACACGTGAGGATGTTCGACCGTGGGCCAAAAATTGCCTCCAGTGCCAAACTAGTAAAGTCCACAAGCACACCAGAAGCCAACCTTCTAGTTTCCTCTTCCCGAGGCTCATTTTGGACATACGCACGTCGATATCGTTGGTCCACTTTCTCCATCAGACTCTCACTTATATCCTGACTTGCATCGATTCTTTCACCCATTGGCCCATCCCCGTTCTCTTGCTTGATGCCTTGTCTACATCGGTAGCTAAAGCTCTGATGGAGTCTTTGTTATCCGTATTCGGCTGTGTTCCTTCAGTCAACACTACAGACAGGGGTTCTCAGTTCACCTCTGCCTTATTTCGCCAGTTAAACCAACTTTTGGCCTCAGCACACATTCACACCACCGTTTATCATCCTGAAGGCAATGGACTCGTGGAACGTTTTTACCGGCAACTTTCTCCAATTTACGTTGGGCGGAGCGTCTTCCTATCATTCTCCTTTCGATGAGAAATACTATTAAGGAAGATCTTGGATGCTGGCCAGCAGAACTCGTAGTCAGCACAACTCTAAGGCTTCCTGGAGAGATGATTTCAGGCATGCAAGACAGACCACTCGTAGGGCCATTCTCGTATGCAGCGCGCCTTAAAGAGCATTTCCGATCCGTTCTTCCTACACCCACCCGTTTGATTGTCAAGCCCACTCATATTCTTAAAGACTTGTCTACATCTACCTTCATTTTTGTTGTCCGTGTGGATGCCGTGAAGACACCCCTTCACAGTCACCGTATGACGGACCGTATAAAGTCCTCCATCGGAAACTGAAATACTTCATTCTCGATCGTAATGTCACCAAAGATGCCATCAGTATCGACAGATTGAAAACGGCATATCTGAGGTTCCTGGCTACAACGGAGAGCGCATGCTCACCGGGACTGTGAGGTGCAGTAATGAAACTCCCTGTGCAGACAACCGTACAACCAATGGTCAATCGGAAGCCTCCGTTTGTTTAAGCTAATACGTCATGCTCAATATATGACTTAGCTTGCTCTGGGTTCACTTTTCATATCACATTCTTTGTGAATAGACGTGTTCTTGGTAATACGTGTACTTCTTCTACCTCTTGTGGTAACATAGTTGATTTCGGGAGAGATAGCTAGTGGGAGCTCTACTACAGATATTTCTGAGTTATTTAAGGCCTTTATTAGAGTTGTAATCCTCCATTAAGCATATATAGGAATTCTGATGACGGAGAAACTGTAGACTAAAAAGGGTTTGAAGAGCATATATATAGGAAAGAGGTAGCGAATTCGAACAATGCGCCGCTGATCACTAGAGTTACCGTAATTAACAAGATAATGGTATATCTGAAGATGGGTTGGATTAGAATCGAAATGCATGGTGATGTGTAATGAGGATTGTGGAAAAGACCTTCGATTGCAAGAAAATAAGACATTTGAAATAAACGTTGACGAGTTGCCTTCATTACCATCTATTGCATTTAGAACCGAAAGCCACAAAATAGCATTGACTCATTGACTAACATAAGACCACCAACTATTTGCTTATTCAAAAGTGGATGAAATGCGCTTTCGGATCTGGAAATAAACATATGTAACGTACCATAAAACTCCATAGAAATATTTCGCCTAATATTGGATGACCTTAACTTCATAAAACCGCAAATAAACAGTGAGGCATAACCACGAGTGAGATTTACCGTAATAAAGCAGCATCAAAACCAAGACATAAATTAAGCACTGACTCATTACATATTAAGTGGTGAAATTGAAAAAAGAAAATCGATTTTCAAATATTTATTGTTCAAATAATCCGCACAGGTGCGATTTCAATTTATCTAATGATAGAATTAACAGAGAGAAACAAATAACTATATCTAAAGTGAAATGGAATATTCCTTAGAGTATTCGCTGTAAGAAACATATGGAGTTAAAAATGTATGTATGTATGTATGTATGTATGTATGTATGTATGTATGTATGTATGTATGTATGTATGTATGTATGTATGTATGTATGTATGTATGTATGTATGTATGTATGTATGTATGTATGTTTGTATGTATGTAGTTATGTATGTATGTATGTATGTAGTTATGTATGTATGTATGTATGTATGTGTGTGTGTGTGTGTAGATTAAACAGAACTTGGAATACATTTGTTGATTTCAAACTATCACAAATCGTCTGCCTGTCATTTTCCACCACTTCCAAAGCACTCGCCTTACCTTTTTCTCAACATTTGTGTCCGACCCTTTTACATCTGTGAATCACTCACCCCTTCCGCCTATCAACACTTTGTAACTTTGATGTTCCTCACCTCTGTTAAGCCCGAAGACAGCTAAAGGGCTTGTGATAAGTGCCATAAAGCCCATTATTGAAATAAATGACTGAATCCTTATCTCGAATTTCAGCCATTAAACAGATTTCTCCGCAAAGATACTCTTAGCATAAGATCAGAAAACTGCAGATTACGAGCGCTAAGCAACGAAAAAGGAGACAGAATAAATTTATTTCGAGAAGATTGGCCCAATTGAATTTCAAGAAGGAATCGTCCACAACATAAAGTGTTCGCGCCAACCTATTGGTCAAATGATATGCCCTCTTACCAATACTAAACACTCAGTTTCACCTAAATAAAGCAATCCTTAAAATCTTCATGTTACCTTGGTAATCTAATTATAAAAAGAGTGATATTCATAGAGAACGGTTTGAGTATTTCGTTTAGTAAACAATGAATAAGGTTTAAGTCAAATTATTTCTCATTGATAGAACTTCAAATACTACTTCATTATCTTCATAATTTGGGTAATGTGAGTGATAAGAAGAATTATATATTTGATCTTATATTAGTAATAAATACAACGCCGTGAAGAAGTTTAATGGAACGAATTAAGCCACTTGCAAGAGCAAATTTTCTTAGACGCCATCCATAATTCTAACAAGTGGAAGGAGGCGACCGGAAGAATGCTAACTCTAAAGATTCATCTAGGAAGTAATCATAAAATTTTGCAGACATTAGAAAGAAAAGAGGCACAACTAAAGTCTCTTCTTTTGCACAACAAATGTGCACTTCCAACTGAGTGACAAAACACTCATCTTCATAACAATCGCATATAGTATCCAAGTATATAAAGAGGAAACCTGATGATGGGGATACACTGGTCTGACTGAATCAGGACTGAAGAGCATCTAGAAGAACGAGGAGGAGAATTGGAAAAGTTAACAAAATGAGGGTATATCTGAAAATAGGTAGAATTAGAAACGTAAAAGGAAATGCCTGGTGACAGGTAATGATGATTGTGATAAAGGCCATCACTCCTGCGAATACTTGAGTTACCTTCGATTGCAAGTGAATAAAATCATTTGAAATAAACGTTGACGAGTTGTCTTCGCCACCATTGAGTGCATTTAGAACCAAAAAACAAATTATCATTGACTTATTTAGTAACTTTAGGTCATTAACCATGTGCATATTCCGAAATGGGTGAAATGCACTCTCGGAACTAAGCATAAACATATGACTTGAAACAACATACTCCATAGAAAAATGTTAGCTAATATTGATTGACTTTAATCTCGTAAAAACAGTGAGGTGAAACCATTAATGTTAATGAAGAAGTATCAAAATCAAAACATAAATCAATTCAGCGTGTACAAAGTGATCTAGTAGCCGACTACGTTAGATTAACCATTTGGTGAAAGTTGTTGTACACTTGAAGTAGTCAGCGGGCCAATGTGTTTGATTGCCCCAAGTGGTCAGTTGAGATTATGGTCACAAGACACTTATCACACACGCGCACACACATTTATCTGCTTATATATATATATATATATATATATATATATTCTGTTGTGATTTGATATGCAGCGGATTACTAAACTAGTAAAGGCCTAGACTAACTCAGAAATCTCTGCAGTAGAGCTCACACTAGCTATCTCTCTAAAAATCAACTATTTTACCTCAAGAGGAAGAAGAAGTACACGTATTACAAAGAACACGTCTATTCACTAAGAATGTGAAATGAAAAGTGAACCCAGATGAAGCGAAGTTATACTAAGGTAGGCTGCTTAGTTTTAAACACACAATGCCTTCTGATTGGTCACTCGTTGTCCGATTGACTGCGCAGAAAATTATTAGTCGCTTTTCCTTGCAACGGCGCGCGTTTATGCGATAACGCTTCCCACAAATGTAACATATTACTGATTACGAGACCTCTGGTCAGCTTCCATAATTACATGACGATGAATTCGAAAAGGATCACGCACAGCCAAACCTGATGTGATATTGTGGTCATCGTCATCGTCAATATCACCGTTGTCGTCAACGTCGTGGTCACTGTCGACGTCACTGTCGACATCCCCCCTATAAAAACCATTGCCTTGATTCAACCTCCGTAGTTCTAGCTTTTCCTAAAATGTAATGCCATTTAAAGTGAGCATCTCAACAAACCTCTTCCACAACTGCACCATCAATTTCGTGTAGTATTTTGATTGAGTCAAATGGTAAACGGTCAAGAGGACAGGTTCGTTTAGTTTCAGACCACTTCTTGATGCAATCGTAGCAGAAGACGTGTTTACATCCACCTAGCATTCCGATTGAGGCTTTCATTTCCACCAGACATGGGGCACTGAGCTGAAGCCGCCATGATCATGAACTATAAGACAAATGTGGCGGCAGGTTTCATTACACTTAAACAAATAAAAGC